GCAAAGCAACAAAAGTGATGATGAGTAAGTTGGGGTATTGTTGACTTTGTATCGGAACGATCGAACCTTACATAGCATTGAATAATTGATACATCTAAGCTTATCGCCGTGGACTGATCTCATAGAATCACATTTTTTATTTTCTAAATGGCTTTATTGCCCCAACTGCTTATTTTTGAAAGGCGTATTTATTTATCTCCATCCAATCCCTCCTTGAATTAACAGTGATCTCATTTCTCTAACTAGATTCCTGAGGTCTGTGGCCTATCGCCAATTTACAAGACTGCTGTGGAGTTATATTGGTAGTTCCAGGCGATACCCCTTGCCCTGTTGTGCCTACAATAAAATCAGGAAACAATTTCCGAGTCAAAATGGCCATTATCGTGGATTCCAAGATGAAGAAAATTAATAATAAATGCACTGTTTGTTCTTGAAGAGTGTCATGTATGCCATTGGGGCCAAGAAGGACCTACAGTAGTTGCTTGAACACTGGTCCGTAAGCACTTAATTTTATGGGCCAAACTTCAGAATTCTCATCCACTTACTCGCTTTTTGTTGAATAACAAACTTGCCCACTGTGTGAAGCCCTGTTCTTATAGCGTTCAGTTAAACTCAAGTTTAGTGGCTGGGAATTCTGATGTTGCTCCAATTTGCATATACACAAGTAATAAAAATGAAATCGAATTCAGCCTGAATTTAATTACAGTTTTAATGTATCGTTTCTTTCTTTTCGCTCGGCTCACAGAGCACTGCAAAACTTAATAGCAGGTTACCTGCTGGAAACTTTCCTAGCGGGTCTGGTTGACTCTTCCAGACTTTTGTCTGGCTACAGTTTCTGTAGAAACTTTCTACGGTTAACAAGGTACCTGTCTGTGATACAGAAAGTTTGGGTTTTGAAAAGAAGCACAAGTGGCAGAACTGAAACAAAAGAAGAAGTTTGGAAAGGAAAACAATTCCCTTCGGTTCCTCTCGAATGTTTTTTCCTTGTAGATCCAACCTGTAAAAAATGATTGAAAGGAAATACTCATTTAATCATAGCATCTGAAATAATAAAATAACAATAAAAAAAACGATTATCATTTTTATTGTTTTTCTCAGGGTGTTGCCAGTTTTTCAACTTGTTGTAAACCTGGCTAATTGTGGGTTGGGATTTTATTCTCACATACATCCTGAAAAATGCTTTTTTATAATAATTCTGTTGATTGCACACATGACAACTTTGAGCCCTCAAGCTATCTAGCCCACCCCAACGATGCATAATTCATTACAAGTGGTTGAGTGGACAAACCAAACATTTTTAGGCCTGGGACTTCCAGTCTATGGGCTGGCTATGCCTCTTCTTTTTTTTTTTTTTTTGCAATTCTTATCTGATATTAATTTGAGGAGGACTCGGAAAAAAAAATCCGAGTCCCAGATGGGATTTGAACCCACGACCCTCCGTGATCTAGTCGGATGCTCTAACCACTTATCTGAGTAAATTAAAAAACAAATTTCATGTACTCTTGTTTCTAAATAGATCCTCTCATACTGGAAGTTAGTTTTAGGCCTAAATCACTTCCCAGAGGATACTTAGAGCTAAGGTGTTAAAATGCAATAAATTTTGCATCTTTGTACCTTGGGTTCTGATGAGTCTTCACCGAGTCATCATCTTCCTTTAGTTTTTTATATGCATCTTCGATTTCTTCAGGAATCCATGTAGGGTCTTCATCACACTCAAACTCCTCATACGCGTCGTCCTGCATTTCCTGCTCATCTTCTGATTCATCCTCTAGCCCTAACTCTCTCTCATTTGTTACTGGCCATGGATCAGTTTGAATAGCTTAAACAAATGGAATTAAAAAAATTCTATCACCATTAAAATTTTAATTATTATTAAATAATCAAATATTGATAAAATATAATAAAAATATAAAGATAGGCAGTTATGCCTATATGACTCATCAACCTCAATTATTGTTGACTCATCAGCATTCACCATCAGCAACTGCTTCGGCTCTTGTATGCTCTTAAAGGTTTCAACCCACTGATCTTGATTGGAGATTAACTTACTCTTCAGTCTTGTGACTTTGCCCCTTAACTGAGTCACCTCACTCCTCAGGGTTTTGCATGTTGTGCAATTCCCAGCATGTCCAGTTGGAGTATCCTACAAAAAACAAACTTTCAACATTAATACAGGCTGTAATAACAAGACTTTAGAATTTTTGTGTTTTAGTATTGTTGCAAAATAACTGCACATGTAGTTTTCCATTGTTATGATAATACAAAGATGCAAATAAACATTAATTAGAGTTATGCGCCTACCATAGAAACCTGTTCAAGTTCAGGAATCGTTAATGATTCATCAATCTGCATAACTTCATCCATATCCTGCACTTTTTCGATTCCCTGAGCCTCTAGGATCTGCATGGTCTCAGTAACCTCATCAGTGCCTGAAATCCCTTGGCTCTCGAGAGCTGTCTTATCACCAGGAGTACCTAGGACCTCTGAAGCCATCTCAGCATCAACACTTATCTCACCCGTCTCAGTCTCAGGGATGCAGCCCTCCTTTTCAGGATCTACCTCAAGCAAAGAACCCTGACTTGTATTCAGAACACCCTCGACTTCTGGAGACTCCTCAGGGTTGAGATTGGGAGCTCCCATAGTGTCAGCACTCTTCTCAGGCGCAGAACTTCCTTTCAAAGAGATCACCTCTTCTTCAGGATTGTCTTCTTCCTCTGTATCCTCATTAGTAGTTTGACCAGCCAGAATTTCATTTAGTAGCTAAAAATGAAAATAGGTACGACCATTTTTTATATCTCCCCTTCAAAATAAGTTTAAATTTGAGCTTTATGTCGATGTTTTCAAAACTAGAAATGGAAGCAAGGCTTAACCACATCTTTGCCTTAAAATGTATGCATCGTTTGCAGACAGTGAAAATAGAATTAAAATACAAGCGAAAAAAAACCCGCAAACAGTAACTGAACTTATAGAATGTAGAAATCAGACTAAGTCCATTTTTAGTCGTTTTAAACGACTCGCGTGTAACTCTTAATTTGCTGTAAGATTTCTTGGAGGGAAGTTTGGAGTACTGTCAAATCTCAAAGTAGCAGCCAAATAATCTCTCGAAAAATAGAGAGCCGGATTTCTATGTAGCTTCACTTTTTCTAAATTTTACGCTTGAGTGGAAAGGTCTGGGAATTGGGGAATTGACTTCACGTCCACTCAGCGCAAAAGCCTGTTTTACTATAACTATATATGAGAAGAAAGCAGAAAAGTATGAAAACACATGCACCAATATGGGAAGTCCAAATAGTCAGAGCATTCATTTCACGAATATTGAACAACGATGCCAGAAAAAATCATGTCACGGGTAAATGGGGAAATAAATATAATGGTGATAAGAACAGGGCAAATACATTGTAATTTCACTCACCGATCGTCGACTCCGCTTTGATAGTGTTTGAGAGGATTTTTTCCAAATGGTTGGAAACGTCCCCTTCTTCAAATTCCTTTTCATGTCTTTCATCGGAAAAGCAAGCGTAAAACAATCCCTTGTAAAATGCTCCGATCACACAGCAAATTTTCCCACTGGGTTGAAATCCTTCCGATGAATGGACACGAACCTTTTCCACTTTAATCTAACGCTGCCCGAATCAGGAGAATTATGAATAGAAATCCCCAATTCATCGTTCTTTACGTTTCCACAGTCCTGAACAACACAACGTCTACCAGGCATACTTTCGCTTTAAGTCAAAAAAGCGAAGAAAGAACCTCCAAAAGCTTCCAAAAATATCTCGTCCTGCATGCGAAATTAGCCACGTTTGTTTGCCTTGTTTTGTCGCGTTGATGTTTCTACGTCACATCTCGCCCCAACTCCTTCAAATACTACTCCCGGTCATTTTTTGAATCGAGTAATGGCGGCAAGACATTTACGAAAATTGCCGTGCAAATAAACACACTTCCAGATCATATTTGGACTCCAAACTTGGCACGGTAAGTCACTTTTACATACATTTTCGAAATATGTAATCAAAAACAAATTCCCAAATTTGATCGTAGTAGCACTTGAAGTGTTGTTGAAAAAAAACGAAATTCTCTTGAAGTAAAAAAAGAAAATAAAAAAGTTTAACATTATTGTCTTAGTGCTTGTCGTTTTCTTATCCAAAGCGATGGAACGCTTTTATGGGAAAGTTATATTTTGCTTTATATTATCACCGGCCTTTATTATTATTACGTAGGACAGTCGCAGAAAAGAAATTTAATCAAACTGTTTGTTTCTTAATGTTTTGGAGTAAATTTGCACACGTAACTGGCGAATTTTGCTGGTATATAACTTCTTTCAATTACAAAAGCTCTTTTCATGCCGAAATCGTATTTAAGGGGTTTTAGACTGTAGAGGTATCATTAGTTAATAGCTCTTAAACCAAAGACGCTTCTTACAATTTATACAACCAATATACTTAGTTGTTGTACACGGCTCAATGACGTTTTCTCTTGTTTTCTAGAGATGCCGATTTCATAGCCAAGTGCCAGAACATTCACCAAATATGTATAATGTTTAATTAAAAACGTATTTTCTGAAAATATTGAAGAATCATATAAGACAGAATCTCTCATGCCCAGTCTAAATTTGTTAGTGTTAGCAGACGCTAAAGAGATAAATTATCGCCTTAAATAATCGTCAATCGGTCAAAGTTCGAACCATTAAACACGCAATGATATGTTAACTGACACTTTGTAACATGTAATGATTGATTGATCAGGATTGGTCTAATACAACAAAGAAGTCGTAGAGTTCTAAGATATGTAACAGTTTACACGGCCAACGGAGTGCACAATAAACCGCGATTCGTTTGAACAAGGTTGTACGGAACTCTACGGCTGGACCGTTTGAAATGGCAGCTGTCTATGGACATTAGAACTTCTGGAATATAACAAGCGAGCAGGCTTTACAAGAAACTTGGCTTCGTACCGAAAATGTCAAGCCTCTGTGGGCCGCTAGTTCTGTGCTCTCGATAGTCATGGCGCCCATAATAGTGCTTGGCAAGTTAACGGTTTGGAAAGACCCTCTTAAGATACTTCGCTCATCACCATCCAACTTCATTTTGGTCTCCATGGCTCTCGCTGATCTGTCAGTCGGCTTGGTGGTTTGTCCAATCACCGCGTATTGGGGCTGGGTAAGATTTGAGAAAAAAACAGCGCCTTTTGGTCTTTCCGTTATTTTTGCCATAAACGTTTTCTCTGTGAATGTGAGCGTCGGTCACATGTTGCTGTTGGCAGTGGATAGACTTTTCGCCGTGGTAACTCCGCTCGAGTATCGTTTTAAAATAACGAAAAAAAGATACTCGTCGCTTGTTGTGTTTGCTGGATGTACTTCGTGGCGTTCGGGTGTTCATTTCTGATATTTCGGGACTATTTTGCCATAATGGTAACAATCTACAACGTACAGCTTTTATCCATTCTCTTAAGCATTCTTATAATGTACGCAGTTATCATGTTCCATTTTCATAGATATTCAAAAACAATGGAAAAAGAACAGCGGCATTCAATAGACAGTCGCCTGATGATCCTCAAAAGAGAAAGAAATGTCTTTAAAGAGATCACCATCGTGATCTGTGCATTTCTTATTTGCTACATGCCCTGGTTTATAGTTCAGCTATTGAAATATTTGTGCAAACCATGCCACCCTCATTTGTCATTGCTTATAATATTCTTTAGATTTTCAACCAGTTTAACGCACGCAAACTCCTTCTTGAACCCGATACTTTATTCATGGCGGCTTCCAAAATTTAGGGAAACATTCAAGTACTTTTGGAAAAACCGAAATTTTGGAAGATTCCAATGCCAATTCAAGTAAATTTTTTTAGGCTTTTCTGGAAGAATCTGTCACTACTTTGTGGAACAACCTTTTTTTTTAAAGATACGCTTTCCAGTGTCGTTGACAACAAATAACTTTATGTCACGTTCACTTTGTGTTAAATTAGCAACTTGGATGACATCGAAGTCGCATTGAATTGAAGTCCCAAGATACAACCTCAGGCTATTTATTGAAGGAAAAGGAAAAGGTTTTAGGAGGAAAGAATAAGACATAGTATACAGTAAAATAGAAGCTTAATTACTCTCAAGTTCGAAAGCTTTAACTGCTGCCGACATCAATAGGCCACTTGTTCGGTGACCACATTTTACTATATCAATCAGAATCCTTCAGGGTTTTGCTTTGTTGTGTTAATTAGATTAGGGCTCTTGTTGTTCAAACCTCTCTGGGACTACGAAGATAAATATGAAAAAAAATGAAAAGGATGCTGGTCGTAGCAGTAAAATGACGCCATATTTGAACAACCTGTCTGTAGTTTCAATAGTGCTATCAATTGTTAAATTGAACTAACTAAACCTCTTTCAGTGTTTATTGCAAGACGTTTTTTTCCGTATCTTAACGAATGTCCACAGCAGACGCTAACTTTCAATAGAGAGTTTAAGGAAATACATTTTTGAGCGACCAACGTCAACCGGAAGCGAATATGTCCTGAGGCCACCATATTTGTAATGCTAAGTTTTTTAAACTCTTATAGAGACGATTTGTCCAAAAATGTTTTCAAAATTACGGCTCAAGTGTGCAAAAAGTCCACTTTCGGTTGACGTGCGTCGCTCAAAAACGTCGCTGCTTAAACTGCCTATTTTGAAAGTAAACACGTGACCTTTGGACTCTAAAACTAATCTGAATTATATATCCGGTCAATTGGTGCTTCATTTGTTTAGTTTTGATAGATATACGTGAGTGGAATGCTATATCGATTCTGTTTTCTTTGCCCCGACACCATCATTAATCTAAACTGTTCGTTTTTAAGTCATTCGTTGAAGCACATGATTTACTACTTAACGACAGTAAAGGTCACATTTTATCTGTCCTTTTCCGCGTAATGATACTATAGATTCTGTTTTATTAAACGTTTATAAAAAAATCCGCATTTTGGATACAAAGACATCTGCGTTTCTTTAAATGCCTTTCAAGTGAACAAGCCGTAAGTTGCTTCACTTAATCTTTGCCTGCTGGGATATGCCTGCCGGAGAGAACATTATTCATGTAAAACAGATATTGAAGGGACAATGAAATGTGCCCAACTATTTTATCTTTAGTAAGTGTTTTAGGCCATTCATTTACCACTTGAATAAAATACCCGGGTACGAGTCGACCAGACCTAAACATCACGAAAAAAGTGGCCTCGCGTTCGTTTAAACTTAAGCACGATTTTCCCAATCTCCTGGAGTTGAATTCCTAAGAAAAATTTCCAAGTTCAAAAGGACAAAGAGAAATTTGTCGTCGTTTGTTTACATTCTCGATAAAACGTGAAATGACGCCGTAGTTTTGCAGTGACGGCAAAGAATTGTACAATGCTGTAATTGTTTCCTAATCTAAGTCCAGGCCAACTCGAATCCCGATAATTTTGACTAAACTGCGTATTTTTAAACACGAATGGGCCTTCCCTCCACACGAAACCAGTGAATACGCTCACCAAAACCGCATCTTTTGGAAACCGCTCTCCTGAGTGGTTTAAGGCAGGAATCCGGGTAACAAATATGCAGTTTTAAAAACTTCGGGATTGGTGTAGGCGCGGCCTAAACCTGCTGCGTTTTTGACGTTCTCATCAAAACAAAAAACTTCCTAAACTTCCTAATGTAAGAGCTAAGACGTCGCAGGAAGGTACAGCTCAGGAGCTTGAACAGGCCAAATTTCAGTCTAAAAAGATTTGCGGGAAGACGTCTGACATTTCAGGCCAGCCGAAAACACAAACATGAGTTGTATGTGGTTGTTGATAATATTTGATCATAGCATCAAATTCCAACGGTTTGGTAGTCAAGAGGTACATTTCCCTTTATTAGGGGGCCTGCAGTTGTCTATTAGTGTATCAATAGTACCAAGTACTTATATAATAATTCAATAACATGCACTTGACATTATGCTTATACAAATTTGAGGGAAAAAACATGGCTAATATTAAAATATTAGAAGAAACTTATTATTTGCTTTGTTGGGCACTGACTAAACTAGGGAGCATTTATTCGAAAACAAAAGCGTTTATTGCTAATGTGAATAAACTGCAAAATTTGCCTTTCGAAGTTGACTTAATGCACCGAATAACACCTAACCTGAGCAAAGTTTGAGTCTTTAACAATGTTTTCTAGTTTGGCAAGTTCCTTTTACCATTCGTGATGTATTCTCAAGATAGTTACCTGAGTGTAAAAATAGGAATCACGTGGATCACGTCAGTGTTGTTTTGGGAAGGAAGTCATAATCTGGTGGTTTTCCAGTTCAGTGAAATCATTTGTCTCACCTTTCCTTTGTCGGATTTCGGAATCTTCCGAAATCCCACTCCAGAAAGTACCTAAAGACTCAAAACCCGTAACATTTCCTATGGATTTTTCCACGAGGTAAGCTGAAGTCTAACTATCTACACTGAACTTTTCGGATGTTCAAACGTCTCCGGTCCAAAAAAAAAGATTGTTTAAATAAAACCAAAAGAATATTAGAAGCAAGTGAACAATATATCTGAGACATATTAAGTAATTTATTGTTTGTTTGTTCCGTGTTAGGATGGAAATTCACTACACTCATTGTGTCTAGCTGAATCACTTGACAAGATAGAGATAGCCGGAGAGAGCTCGTTTCCTCAACCTGAGCCGAAAGGTAAAACGAAAAGGAAAGCGAAACATAACATAAAAACTTGATCAGAATTGGGCAAACAGCAATGCTTTGAGTTTAAATAACTTGAAATCAAACGTCAAGGGTTATGAAGACCGGGTCAATGCAAATAATCGTTTTTCAATCAAAATGCAAATTGTTCAATTGATAGTATTTAAAAAAGCTGAATAGGACTAGAAAATGTAACAGTTGTTCAGTAGAGAGTGTACAGAGCAGGCTCGGATCACGTCACGAGAGGATTGTGGTGAAGACGGAAAACACCAACTCCTGTCCTTTTGCTTGTAATGGCAGCTGTTGTTATTCATTACTACGTCTGAAAAGGAAACGTTTTTAGGAGGAAAAAATAAGACATAGTATACAATAAAATGCAAGCTTAATTTAAGCGATATTAAATAAAAGAAAAGAAAGAAAGAACGATTTAGAGGTAGTATATCCACCAAGTAGTTCTTGGGCAACCTTATTCCTGGTCTAATTGAAATCAGGTAGTGTTGGTTTTTAAGGTGTGGGGAAAAACGGAGTACCCGGAGAAAAACCTCTCGAAGCCAATGGGAGAATCAACAACAAACAAACTCTACCCACATATTGCGTCGACGCCGGGATTTTGAACCCAGAGCCACGTTGGTGGGAGACGGTTGCTCTCCGAGCCCTGACACTGCTGCGCCGCTCTTACTCCGCGATCTTTGTTACTAGGCGGAAATCTATTAGTTACGTTAGGTTGATCTTCTTTCTTCTCCACTAATAAAAGATTTACCTTTGTAGCCTCTCAGTATGTGATCTTCTCTGCGGTGCGTTTTCATTTCTTGGGTCAATTACAGATCATACTGATTTAATTTCAGTGACGTTTATACATATGTAGGCGGAGGCAGCAGTTACCGTTTTGGAGAGGCACATCTTTGTAATGTTGTATCAAAGCAACTGTATCTATAAATATATTTAATTGTGCAATATATACTGTGTACTATGACGTCTGTGTAATGTTATAGTCATTTTTTTATCTCAGGTAATTTCTATTTTTTGTTTTGTTTCAACTTCATTAGCATACATTACCATACCTCCCCCCCCCCCCCCCGCTCCAAAAAAAAGAAAAACAAAAATTACCTGAGATAAAAAATTAATTACAACAGGAATGTTGCAGTTTTCGAGGCCAAACTCAATATAGAGCGTAAGTCGGTGTCACGGCACAAATGAGTTCTGCAAAAGCTTTCTGTTCAGATTTTCTTCCAAGCACCCAAATACAAAGACTATAGACGGGGGGAAGTGTGTCCAAGGAAATCTGTGGTACAGTCCGCCTGCCAGTATGACGTCACATCTCGCGTCAGTGCCTTTCAAAATGGCAAGCAAAGTGTTCATCGAAGAGACGGATAAAAATTTTGATTTTATCACGGATATACTGTTCCGATTTCTTGATTTGGAGATTTTAAGGTTTCTATTGTCATAGAAAACTAGACTTAAGCACTTCTTTGGAATGAAATGTCCAGTGGTGTAATGAATTTTAAAGATTCCTTTCTATCGTCGAGCAAATTTTACGGGCAATCATACCTATCGGTCACACTTTTGGGGGCCAGTGCAAAGCAAGATTGTTGAGTTTAGACACAGCAATAGGAGGTTCATCAAAGGATGTATTATACTTTACATTGTGCGTATTTTCAGCTCTTCAGAGCTAGTGGAACCCCATATCATTCCTCTCAAAGTTCGCTTAGCTGTAGCGTTGAAACAGAAAGCTAAATGACAGGTCGTGAGAGACTGTGAGCATTGAATCTTGTTGCTTTACCACATTTTAATACTGTATTGGGTATATACACCTGTAATTCTGTAATTAAATCCCGAATTCCAATAACAGGTTTCGTTTAATTATTTTTTGGGGGCAAACCTTGTGGAGATTTTAGGGTAATAATATTGATGATTAAGACGATGTACAAAAGGCAAGTTTAGCTTTTGCCAGTAGGCTACTGGTGGGTGTTGGGTGTAAATTAGTACAGTTTGTGGTGTACTGGGTGTTGTTTGTCATGATGTCAACTAACAGTGAAAAAAATTCAGCTGTTTCAGAGGAGGGACATGTCTTGACAGCTTATGGTTTTTATCTGGTCGTAAGCTTGGCCCTATACAGATCAAGAGCTTTTGACATCCCTTTTCCAAAATAAAACTCCGGACTTTAGCTTAAAATATCAATATTGATCCAAGTGCATGACCAGCAAGATCAGCAGTGAGAATAAAGAAAAAAAAGCCTAAAGGAAATATAGTTTTTAAAAAAAGAGACCAAACAGAAAAAAAACAACGGTACAAAAAAAACAGAAAACAGCATAGCCGGGAGTCGAACCCGGTTTAGCTGCAGATACAAGCAACTCCTTGACCACTGCACCTCAGTGACACACATGATTTGGAAAAGTAATTTTGTCATATCAATAGAATTTTTCTCTGCGATAGACGCTGTTAGAAGCTAGTGGAGCTGTATTTATCATGAATTCAAATATACATTTGAGGAAAATTAGCTTAAGCGCGTATTTCAAAGCTTTTTTGCATTAATTTGGGCTCAACAGGCCGACTCGATGTAGATAATCGATCGAACTAGCTTTACTGAATTTGGTGGAGAACTAGGAGATCAACAGAGGCCCACACTCGAAAGGAATGATATGAAGTTAGGCCCATTTAATTAACAAAAGAATAGATGAAATTTTAAACATGCGTGATCTGTGAATGGAACCTCCTATTCTGATTCTGAAGACTAGACCTTGCCTATTTTAGACAAAAAAAGATTTCAGTTTTGATGACCTTGCCGGTCCCGTGAAATAGATGGCGATCCAGCAACACGGCCCGCGAAACAAATTAACAAAATTATACAATCACGGACACAAAATATCAAAACGGTTTACACAAGCAGATTATAGCAACACCAAATCTCACACACTTTCGATCAAATAAGCGATATTTAGCGATATTTGCTAGCTTCTTAGCTTTTCCTCGACATCGCTCGTCCAGATAACTGTCGTATCCCTTGTTAATTTGCCCAAGCAACCCGAGGCTCTTGCCTGTTACTATGTGACGTCAGGCGGAATGGGTCAAGAAACTTGGGTGGAAAACAATAGAGTTACCTCTCCCCCCCCCTCGACTATAGACTATTCAAAGACTTCCTTTTAACATTTACTTTCTATTAGGTCCGAGGGATAAACTAAGGCTATGCTCACACTATACTGGATAGCTTTTGCGCCGGCAGGAAAACCATACCAGATAGGGCTTCTGTTCACGCATTAGAACGGTGATTTTTGCGCGATTTCTGTAACGGAGTGAAGATTCGCCGCGCTGCGCCGATCTCTAAAGTGGAGAGTCACATATCGGATAGCCTTTCGTGACGACAAGAAAAGCTATACGGTATGGTGTGAACATAGCCTAAGCCATTAATCAGCCTTGAATTTTTACTGACATGGCCCTAGTCATCAAAGGGGAAACAACTCAGTATAAGAAGAAAAGAAAAGAACAACTACTACAAAATACAAACACTAACAATGAAGATGGTTGTTCTGAATAAGCAATTTGAAATGCATCAATAGCACTTTGGCAAAAGGGCCCTGATGATTAAGCCAATGTTTCGAGTGGTAGAACCACTGTTACGCTGAAGGATACAACAATGGTTCTAAATTGTCATAAGGTTGGTTCTTTGACAACATTTGACATGATCATATTGCTTGCTTAGACTATACAGCATGTCCCAGCAGAAAAACAGCATTTTGATAAATGGGCATGGGCTGAACCGTGAACCTATCCCTTTAAATAAACGTCCTCGTCACTTAATGATATCACTAATTCATTTGCTAGTTGGCCTTGTGCAATTGTTCGGTCTTTATTCGGCTATCAATTCCACTGGACGACATTGCACAAAAACATTAAGTTTTTCATACTCTGATCTAACCTATAACGTAGTCCTTGAATATTCCAGCTTCCAGTTTTCTGTCAAGAAATAACTAAAATTGTGGGTCATACATTTGGTAATAAAGACACCACCCACGTTTACAAAAGCGGCAAAAAAACGTGTAATGCAATGGTCTTATGTGACCTTTATTTAACTTTTTATTCTATATATTTTCTTAATATAACTAATATTTATATCCTACAGATCGGCTTGTTCATATTCTTCAAAAATGAGTTACTTCCAGTAGGCTTCCATGATATGTTCTTGTCTAGTTCTCAACTTCATTCTTATAATACAAGAAATGCCATGAATTACAGATCTCAATTTTCTAGAACCCATTTTAGGAAATTTACCATAGCATATCAAGGCCCAAAGTTTTGGAATACCCTCCCTGCTAAACTCAAAGATGAATCTTCAAAAATTGTCTTATAAGAGAACTTACATAGATTCTAGTTCAACAAGCTAATAATCTGTCCTAATTATTTCCATATTGTTGATTAATAATTTCTTGTATAGCCTTTTTTAACTAATTTGAATTTGTTTTTAAATGAGTAGCCTGAATGTAATAAGCCCCAGGGTTTTCTATCCGGGCAGCCCTTCCACTTTTGGTGGTAATATGATTACATGCGTCTTTGGAAGCACAGAAAAACGCTATTTTGTCCGCCGTTGAACACGCAAATTGAAGGCCTCGAAAGCAACTTGTTTAAAGCTCAGACTGACTGGCGTCGCAAATTAGCTTCGGAGGTTCAATCAGAAAACCACGTCTTCAAGAGGAAAGGTAATGAACAACAGTCTACTTCAACCGGAAAGTAATCAGTGCCAGTATTGCTGCAGTAAATCTTTGGAGATTGGAAACATTGGCAAAGCGAACGAGGAACTGAATGAAGGTATTTCCTTACTGACTAACAGACAGAAAATGATTAAATTAGCGGACAAATCTGAATTTCGTTTCCCCTCTGTTCAAGAATACGTTTGTGATGATTTGGCCGATGATGAAGCAGACGCGGCAAAAATGAAAAAGGCCGAGAAAAGAACTGCAGCCGAGTCTAAATTTTGCAAGACGAGAAGAGAAGGTAAAGCCTCAAATTTTCGACTTCTGCGCCTTCGACAATAATTCCAGGTTTAGGAGTCCATCGGGCTTTTTCCTTCTGCTGCTGGTTATCAGTTTACGTCCCCCAAGGTCGATATTCTGGAAACGTCTTCAGAGGCTCCGTTTTGTGTTTGCGATGTGGAAAGAGAGGCCACTGGGCCAGTTCCTGCCCCTCTAAAGATTAACTCTTGTCTTCAGGACCAAAATCTTGATTTTTTGGATTTGGATCAATACGAATTTGATCATTGACAGAGCACTCCTGAAAGTCATAGGATCCTCTTTTATCCAAGGAAAGTTGCGTGCTAACTTGTCTTTTGGGCGTGATGCAGTAAGAGCTTCAGATTTTGTTTTGGATATTATTGAGAACGGCTACAAGATTCTTTTTCAGAAGTCGCCGTTACCGTATTCGATTGAGAACAGATCGTCCGCCCTTCTTCATAGAGGTTTTGTTCGAGAGGTTCTTCCAGAGTTGCTGACACGTGGCTGTATTAAACAGCTTTCGGTTTACCCTCCTTTTTGCAGTCCTTTGGATGTCGCTGTGGAGTTGTCAGGAAAACTTAGGCTGATCTTAGATTTGTTCTATTTTAACACATTTATCATTAAGACGTGAAATACGAAGACCTAAAAACGTTTTTTAAATGTTTGTTTTTTTATTTGATCTTTAGTCAGCCTATCATCACTTTGATATCTGCGAGAAACAGAGGAATTCTTGTCCTTTTTATAGCCTTCTTCTGATGTAGTCACAAAATTTTACGAAATTTAGGTTTTACCTTTTTGGTTTGTGTTCTGCGCCATATGTGTCCATCGAAGTTTTTATGTTCGTTGGTTAGTTTAATATACCCCGATGACGCCGCGGGTATTCGGGGCGATACGTCTTTAAATTGCGCCGAAAGCCTTAATAGTATTTAGTTAGCCAAACATTGCTTCGTCCGGTTTCACACTTAACGATGATATATCGGTCTAGGAGCCTACACAGAAGTTTGTTTTCTTAGAAACTGTTTTGGATTTTGAGAAAGGTTTGATCTTAATTCGGGATTGTCGTATCCTTAAGCTTAAATCATCCCTCTTTTCCTGTCTTCAGAAGGTCCAGTGATTAGTGTTGAACTCGTGGGAGGGTTATTTCACCTAAGTCTAGCGCTGTTGAAGTCGTTTATTCCGATGCAAGTGGCCGTGGGTTTTTTTCAGTGTGGCGTAGATTTAGTTTCCGGTGTTTGGTCCGTAGATCAAGTGCATTCTAGCTCCACAATCAGAATGTTCACCTCTTATTATTTCGTCTGGGAGTAGTAAGGACTTTTGCATCTGTTGTAGTTATGACATTTCGATTGGGACGAAATGGATCCCGAGATCTCAGAATGATCGGGCTGATTTTCTTCGTCGCACTTATGACGCGGACGATTCTGCTTTTTTGCCCAGAATTGACCCATTCGATTGATCGTTTCGCAAATCATCTGAACGCTTAACTCTCGCGTTTCAATTGCAGACTTTGGAATCGGGTTGTTGAAGGCATTGATGCTTTTGTTAGGATTAGGCCGGGGAAAATAATTATGTTTGTTGGCCTATCTGCCTTATTCTGCGCGTTTTGTTTTATCAGCGTAATTGTAAGCTTTAGGGTTTCTCGTTATCCCTTTGTGGCATTCGCGACGTCCTGACAGAAGATCAAAATTTGTTACTTCCACAGTAATGAGATACTGTTCACGTGAACATCTCAAGGAGAAAGCTTTTCATGCCCTCTTCAGCTTGTGACGACACACGAATCTTAGAAAACTAAAAGCAGCTCTCGCTTGTAAAATATTTGATACTCTGATCTCCCCTATTCTAACATATAACAATGAAATTTGGGGTGTGTACGCCAAACCAGATTTTAAGACCTGGGACGGCTTACAAATCGATAACGCACACCTTCAATTTTGCAAACGATACTTGGAGGTAAACAACAAAGCTTCTAATATAGCTTGTAGAGCATAGCTTGCTCGTTTTTCTTTAAATATCACTATCAATCAAAAAATTCTCACATACATTTTTTATATACAGTCTTAAGATGAGGAATCTCTCGTCAAACAAGCTTTTTTAAATGTCATTCGACTTATCCTGTAATGGCAAAAATAGCTTCCACTCTCATTTAATGAATATGTCAGAATACTTTAAGCTTCCTGACGTTAACCCTGATTTATTAGATATAGCTATGGTGAAAAGCTATGTAAGTTCAGTGCAAGAGGAATACATCTTATATCGGCAAAACACCCTTCAACGTTCTCAAAAACTTGAATTTTATAGATCTTTTAAAACCGATCATACCTCCCCTAGTTACTTAGACTTAACAAGAGGTACAGCTGGGAGAAGGGCTTTACTAAAACTACGAATAAGCAATCACAAACTAATGATAGAAATAGGCAGATACAATCAAACTACGAAGGATAATAGGCATTGCCCTTTTTGTGGATGCAATGTAATAGAAGACGAAGTTCACTTTCTTTTTCAATGTCCTACATATTCTATGATTAGAAATAAATTTTACTATAAAGTCAAGACTCTGATTCCAAATATTACCCAGTTACCTATAAAAAGTTTGATCAATGAACTGATGAACTCTTCTAATTACCTTATCAATATACAATTCATAAAATATATTTCAGCTTGTTTTGATGTTCGTGACAAATTATCATCAAAGTAACGTAATTGCCCTGTGTTGTTATTTTGACTCCTAAACATAGCTTTTGCAACACTGTATATGCTTGTATGGTCATGCAAATAAAGCTCGTTGTTGTTGTTGTTGTTGTTAAGTTCCTTAAAGGGAACACAATTTCTAAGACTTCATTGGTCGTTCTTTTGGCACAAGAAGAGGTAGAAAAAGCCTGAGGTCAATTTGTTGTGAGACAGATATTTCGCGGTTTTACTCGTGTACCAGACACAGATGACGTAGAACACTCCTTAGTGTCTGGTACAGAAAGTAAATGCCATATTTCGCTCTTTCAACATCTCCATTTTCTTAAATAACTGCAAGGTTTGTCTTCAACCCGTTTGAAGAGCCGCCTATACCGGTTCGATTGATTTTGTAGCTTAAGAAACGTTTGCAGTTCAGAATTAGGCAGAGCTCTTGATATATTGATCCTTGAAATAAATGATCGAAATGTATAAAGCCGAAAGTGTTGTTGAGAAAAAAATTTCTTTTGAAGTAAGAAAAGGAAAGAAAAGAAATATAAGGAATTTTTACATTAGGTGCCTATTGCCCTATTTCTTGTCGTTTTCTTATCCAAAGAGATGGAACGCTTTTATGAGAAAATTATATTTTGCTTAATATTATCACTGGCCTTTATCAAAATTGGCGCACATTGATATTTTTACATCTTTATTACGTAGGACAGTCGCTGAAAAGAAAATTTAATCAAACTGTTTCTTAATGTTCTGGAGTAAATTTGCACCCGACACTCGCGAATTTTGCTAGGTTATAACGTCTTTCAATTAAAAAAGCTCTTTCCATGCCGCAAACTTTAATTTCTGATCTTATTTAAGAGTTTTTAGACTGTAGACGTATCATTAGCTAATAGTTGTTAAACCAAAGAAGCATGTTACAATTTATACAACCAATATACTTAGGTTGTTGTACACGGTTTAATGACGTTTTCTCTTATTTCCTCGAGATGCCGATTTCATAGCCAAGTGCCAGACTATTCACTAAATATGTGTAATATTTAAAAACGTATTTTGAAAAATCATATGAGACAGAATTTATCATGCCTAGTGTGGCTGGCCTCCCGTAGTACATACAACAAGAGGAGTTGCTAACAATCAACACGAACGTCCCAAACGTAGTTTATTCACAGGTCCTCGGTACAACACATTCTTTTTACTCCTTAGTTCTTGGATCCTGAGTCCCGAGATAACAATCTGACATGACAAATACATGATAGGCTAAATACGTGATTCGTAAGTACTAAACTTCAAAATGTCGTGTGAAATACTCTCTTGGGATTTTCCGTAAAATGTTCTTTTAACAGTTCTTACCGTTTAGGCCGTATAATGTCCGATGGATGGCGATAACTATCCAAAAACTTGAACAACACGAGAAAGGGCTAACATGGCGGCCGCTTACTAAAATCTGGTGCGGCTGCTAAGCTTTTACAACATACCGCTGACTGCGCAGCGCTGCAGTCACATGGCTCCCCTAATTGTTGCCTAACAATTACTTAAGTTAATGTCCATACTAGACAGTTAAACAAAACAAATGTTCATAAAGGCGGTCACTTGTGTCTTCTACACCTGTCGGGGCGACTTCACTGAGTAGTTGGCTCCTCGTTGGGGAATTCCTCGGTCTCCCTGCTGCTATCACCAACATCCGCTTCATCTGCAGAGGGTACCAGTAAGACTAATTTGTGGATTGGTCTATCCAGGAACGTAGATGGCTTTCGACGTCTGCCTTGGTTGTCAAGTTCTCCATCAGCTTTCACAATTTTGACTTTTCTGACACATCCGTCTTCGCTAGGGTAGACTTCTACGACTCTAGCGAGTGGCCATTGGTTACGTGGTCCTTCGTCTTCCTTGGATACGATTACATCTCCAACTGATAGATTTCGCTTTGGATACATCCACTTGTTACGAGCCTGCAGGCTATGAAGAAACTCACGGCGCCATCTAAGCCAAAATTCGTTCGCGAGATATTGTACTCGGCGCCACCACTTGCGGGAATATAGATCTGCTCGCTGGAACCTTCCAGGCGGTGGAAGTACAACTTTAGCTTTCAAGGTAAGTAAATGACTGGGCGTAAGTGGTTCTGGTGCCTCTGGGTCATTTAAGTCGTTCGTAGACAAGGGTCTGGAATTAACAATACACTCTGCTTCAGTCATGAAGGTTCTGAACGCTTCGTCGTCCAACTGTGTGCCAGCGCTCAGAAGTAACGTCTCCAGTGCACTACGAACAGTTCGGATTAACCTTTCCCATGTGGCTGGCATGAGGTACATTCATCTGAAATGGTATCCAATCACATCCGTTCTCCACTAAGTACTCTTGCACCCGGTTCTGATCCAGTTCTTCTAAGGCAGCTTTTAGCTCATTCTTCGCTCCTACAAAGTTTGTACCCTGATCACAGCGGAGCTGTCTGACTGGACCGCGTCGGTTGAGGAAGCGACTAAGTGCGTTGATGAAGGAACTGGTACTTAACGAGTTGGCTGTCTCCAAGTGAACACCTCTGCTGGCCATACAGGTAAAAATAACTCCGTAACGTTTAACTTCACTCCTCTTTTCCTTGATCGGGAAAGGTCCAAAGAAATCTACAGCACAATACGAGAAGGGGGCCGAAGGTTCAACTCGATCCACAGGCAAATCGGCCATCTTCTGAATTTGCAGGGGCCGCGCATTTTTCTGCATGTAACACACTTGGAAATACAATTTGACACTGCTGACGATCCACCAACAACCCAGTAGCCTCTCTGGCGCAACTCATTTTGGGTGATACCTCGTCCCATGTGGTTCACTTTGGCATGCCAGAATCGAATCAGCAATTCTGTAATATGACTTTTACGAGGAAGTATCACAGGATGCTTCGTTGCAAATGGAAGGTTAGCTCGTCTCACGCGGCCACCAACGCGGATAACACCGTTTTCATCGAGAAATGGATCCAAACGATATAAGCAACTAGACTTCTTGACGGCTAGATTTCTTTCTCTTGCGATCTTTCTAGTAGTAAGCTCTCCAACTTCCTTAAGTTCCTTTAAAACTTGCATCTCGTCATGGAAATGTTCACGTTGAACAACCTTAAGAACTTCCCTCTCTGCTGCGTGAAGTTCTGTAAGTGTGACTGATACCTTCGGTAATGGTCTGATGCTCTCACCACCCGTTTGTCTCGTCAACTTCACTTCTCTACTTGCCAGTTTGCTCTTCAGTCGTAGACACAAAGCTATTGCCTTCAGCACATGCTGCCAGCTTGACATGTGGCGCAAACGGCTTGACGTTAACGGTTCAGGGGCTTGAGTAGCTCTGCTCTCTACACGAGATGTGAAAACGGCTGCTTTCCTTACTTCAGGATCACTTTCGGTCACTTGAAATTCTTCTATCTTCTCAGGCAGGAAAGTTCCACTCTTCCAAAGAAATAAGGGTCCA